TTTACCATCTCTATATATTACTAAAAAAATAGGAAGACAGTTGTGTTGACGTATTGTGAAACGATATTGTTTCGTGTATTAACACCTACACTACTTTACACCTCCACCGGGCCAGACCCAAAATTAGGCTAAAGAGCCCTACTGTCACATGCACGGCACGTGTTTTGCGTGATCCTTGCGTCATTCAATTTGTCTATTTTTGGCCTTTTTGGTTATTTCTACGTTAATGGGAGTCAGGAGACTATTGAAATAACTTTCACTTTTTATACCTTTCCCCCTGTTTCTTGCCATGTGTAAAGGGTATATCATCTTGAATGATTCCACGTAACTATCTCCACATCATGTTTTTCTTTTTCTTTTTGTTTTTTTGTTTTTGTTTTATCTCCACATCACGTTGATTCGATGCTTAGGCTACATTCCAAAAAGAGGATATGTTAATAACTAGGGACATTTCACATATGTATCTATTTCAATTTCAACAAGCCAACTCTTTGTAAGAAACACACAAAAGATATTGAACTAGACCTATCTTTGATAAAAAAAAAAAAAGACTTTTTCTTCCATATTAATAATCTACATTTTGTTTGTTAACTGGTTAACTTTAATATATTCTAATTATTCCTGATATCATTTCTGATGCTGCAGTTCGTTGGATAAGGCAGCAATAAAGGACCAAGAAACGGCAATGACCCAAAACGTATTCAACAAATGGACACTTTCAACACTAACCGATGTTGAGGAAGTGAAACAAATCGTACGGATGTTACCAATTTGGGCAACATGCATCCTCTTTTGGACCGTCCATGCTCAATTAACGACATTATCGGTTGCGCAATCTGAGACTATGGACCGTCACATCGGGAGCTTTGAGATCCCTCCAGCCGCAATGGCCGTCTTCTATGTCGGTGGCCTCCTCCTAACCACCGCCCTCTACGACCGCGTCGCTATTCCCCTATGCAAAAAGCTATTCAACTACCCTCAAGGTCTAAGACCACTTCAACGCATTGGTTTAGGGCTCGTATTCGCATCCATGGCTATGGCTGTGGCTGCTTTGGTAGAGATCAAACGTCTTAGAACCGCACATTCACATGGTCCAACGGTGAAAACGCTTCCTCTAGGGTTTTATCTACTCATCCCACAATACCTTATTGTTGGTATAGGGGAGGCGTTGATCTACACAGGACAGTTGGATTTCTTCTTGAGAGAGTGTCCTAAAGGTATGAAAACGATGAGCACGGGTTTGTTGTTAAGCACATTGGCGTTAGGGTTTTTCTTCAGCTCGGTTCTCGTGACGATCGTGGAGAAATTCACCGGGAAAACTCATCCGTGGATCGCAAACGATCTCAACAAGGGCCGTCTTTACAATTTCTATTGGCTTGTGGCCGTACTTGTTGCCTTGAACTTCCTCATTTTCCTCGTTTTCTCCAAGTGGTACGTTTACAAGGACAAGAGACTAGCTGAGGTCGGGATTGAGTTGGATGATGAGCTGGATATTCCCATGGGTCATGCATGATCATGATGATGATGATGAATACTGTGTCTATGTGGATATGTATGAATTTGATTTTGAATTTTGTGGTATATTTTCTGATGATTTTCTCAGTTACCTCTTCCTCTTGTTTCCGAGTCGACAAATAATGGACCGACCGATAAGGGATAAAGGTTAAAGTTTCCTCATTTGGGTCTGTATACAAGCAGAAATTGTAAAAATTCTACGATTTAATCAACGCAGTTGACGTCTTTTTGTCTAAATTTTCCATATTACGAAAACAGAATATTTCAAGTTATTATTTTTTTCGTATAATTATATTAATGACCTGATTCTGAGGATCTGTAGGATCGAATGGTCCCCCAGTTACTATTTGTCAAGTGATTGAATTATTAGGGAACTATAATCCAAATATAATAAAATGATCATTAGTTGTAAACAAAAAAAAATCATGTCCCATAAGATCACACTAGCTAATTTGAATTAACTATGTGCTGATGCCTGATTGGATGAAGAATCATCGGTGTCCCATACGATCACAACGTGTTATGCGAAGAGATCGAGATAAATACAGTATTGTAATAATTATTTTTTCGACATATGTATAATTCAATTTATTCATATGCAACATAATAGTACGAGCTATGTTTTTTACAGATATTATTTTAATGTTTTTAGAGCAAAAAAAGAAGTAAAATTATATTTTCTTTAATAAAGAGTAAGCATTTATAGCAAATTTTTTTTACTCCCTCTATTTCATAGATTTCATTTTTTTTTTAAAAAAAGTGTCATTCTGCATTTTCAATGTAACTTTTTACTCTTATTTCCTGTTTTACCCCTCATTTAAAGATAATAGTCTTTGTAATTAAATGTTATAAAAGTATATTAATTAGGGGTATATTTATATATTTTATTAATTTCTTAATCTATGTGAAATGTGTCAAAATGACACTTATTATGAAACAGAGGGAATAAAAAAACCATTTTCATTCAATAACTAGATTTTTCCCCTAACATCGCCTAAAAATATCAAAAATCAATATCTCTCTTTTCTTTTCTTGTTTTATCAGTTTATTTTTGTGATGAGCTAGACAGATTAAATTCCGTTATTATTAATGAATTTGTTTTGCAATTGAACTGGGGTTTGAATTTGATGTCCCTAAAAGATAAACCATTCATGCATTTGTACTAAAGTTATAGAAGATGAGCTAAATGTATGGAGTTCTGTTTAGCAATTTCTCTAATATGCTTGCGATATAAAACAGTAAGGAATGTTCAGTGCACGTTTGTTTGTCTAACTGTTGTCTCCCAACTCTTATCTAGTTTTCAGATACAAAATGATCAATTTAATATTATAAATTTTCAAATATCCCCCCCCCCTCCTCTGGCCCTCTCAACCCCAATCATGTAGCTTTAAATTCTGACTTTGGACATATATGATAACTCCGGGCATGGACACTATATAGATCAATTATATATCCATTCCTGCATATGGACATTAATCAAACCCCATCGATTTCTGAACTAAAATATAATAATTTAACGATATGCTTCTGATATTTCTTTCAAAATCCGCTGTTTTAAATTGAGCTAAAATAAAGTCTATAGGTCGTGAGAGGTATAATCTATCTATTCTAACATAATTAGCTCAACTAGTTTCATTTTATAGTTTTTAGTTAGGTCAAAAAATTACAAATAACCTTTTCTTTTCTCATTCCGTGTATCTATAGTATAGAATATGAGATATCTACTTTATTCAGATCATTTTTTATAATCTCTTTTGACATATATTTTTTCTTCTTTTTCTTGTTAATATTATCCGAGTCAATAAGATTGGTTTGACCCAAAATTCGCATTACCAAAAGGTCCAAAGCAAATATCAATTGGCTGCGGTATACAGTAGAACCTCTATAAATTAATACTCGATAAATTAATAATCACTATAAATTAATAAATTTTCAGGTCCTGAGTCGGGTCAATGTAAAAATTCATCAAATTCGATAAGAAATAAGATAATAATTTGTTTGAAACTCCTATGTAAATCTATGGTCCCAACATAAACATAAATTAATAATTATATAAATTTTGTATATATATATATATAAGATACAATATACTAAAATATGATTAATTTGTTGTTTGTTATTATTTAAGGTTTGAAATTTTATTAAAAAGCATATCTTTACTTATTTACATTAATAGCTTTTAATGTTATTTTTTTTTATCTTTATTCAAAATTTGTGAAAAAAATTTAGATGTGATAGTTGATTTTCTTATGTATAACTGTTTCAAAATATAATATGTTATTGTCTTCAATTTTAATATAAATATTAAGGATACTAACCATAATTTTTATTAATTTTGTACTAATGAATATTTATATTCTTACATAGATAATTCAGCTTACAATTAACAAATAGAAATAACTATCCTATTGCAATTGCTATGATTAGTAATCATAATTTAAGTTTGTGCATGTTATTTTGTAAGCATATAAGTTTAAATTCTTAAATTTAATATCAATTAAAATAAATTTTAAGAAGAAAATAGAAGAAAAAACAATTTTTTCTATAAATTTTATTAATTTATTGATAAATTAATATTATAATAAATTAATAAAATAACACGGTCTCGATATTATTAATTTATAGAAGTTTTACGTCTTAATTCTGAAAACAAATTAAGAAATATGTTCAACATATATTCCTATTCTGCGATATATTATTATTATAACATATGATTTATGTAATGATTGGCAAAAAGCAATAATGTTAGACTTTTGGATCTGGAAATTACATGACCCAATCACGGACCAGTAATCATGAACTTTTGGTCTAAAGAACCGTAGTTCAATTTAAATGTGTCTTTCTTAGAAAAGACAGGAAAGGAAACTTTTTCTATTTAAGAGGTTATCTTTTAATTGGTCTGTAATGAACTCAATTATTAACGAGTAGATTCCTCTTTTGGCATCTATTTTCATTTTTATTTATCTGTTTTCATGTTGGTTCGTTAATATATTTCCAGGTTATTTTTTTTAACCTTTATATCTCCTGCTTTCACAAATAGACCTGAATATATGAACACAATAATATATTTTTATTGGGTTCCTTTTGCGATAAAACGCGATGAATTAACAGGTAACACTATTATGTAATTTTGTGGAAGAAAAAAATGAGTCGCTCACAGCACACAAAATTATACATGAAGACATGCTAAGAAAATTTTAAACCCAAAGTGGCAGAACCGATTCAACACGGTCGGTTACAACATTTAACTAACTTGGAAACTCAAACAGAGACTAATCAACATTGATGTGAAGATGGGAAGTCCATAACGATAATTTTAGGCATCTAAATCGAAATGGGCCACGGCCCATGAATGATCAGTTGATGTAATGATGTTGGATTACGAACTGTATAGGTTCCAAGATTCCGACATCAGAGAACACATTTCAGTTTATCCCCCAAACAAATCAGTAGCAACTTAAGTAACATTCTGAGAGAGAAGAGAATGAGAAACTGAAGTCATCGGCTCACTACCTTTGTCCTCTAACCATAATCAATGTCAAAAGTCAAAAAAGAAAAGAAAGAATTGAACAACATAAGACTGTTAAAGATTACATAATGAAGGATTTGTGTGAAAAAATCCGAAACAGAGGAAGATATTAAAAAATCATTCATTTTTCCGCCTTCCTTTACCAACATACCTCTGTGACGCTGAACGTTTATTTCTCGGGTTTGCTCCGAATTTGACATCTTTCGTCTTCCCCTGCATCTTCTTGTACTCTCTAGATCTCAAAACCGCTTCTAAGATATTAAGGTCTTCGCGGATCTCGTGCCTAGAGAGTGAACTTAAGCTCGGGAGTATCTCTTTCTGGAAGTTTTTCATTCTCCTCCCTCTTCTAAGCTTGAGTCCAATCTCTTTGTTGTTATCTCTCGTGATGTTATTAAGCTCATCCAGAGCCATTGATGAGACACAGAAGTCTTCTTCGGTGTTGGTTTCGCTTATTCCTAATGTGTGTAGCTCATATGAATCGCAGGAGCAACATCTCGGCTCCGCGGCGTTACCCATCTCTGGTTTATCTGGAAAGTCTTGATCTTGAGATGAGCTGTTGGTTCTTGAAACGGGCTTTGATTGCAAGTCTTGATTTTGATACGAAACCGCTGATATGTGGACTAATGATTCAGCTGCCATCTGAATAATCTCAGAGAACTCTTCTTCCTCGTTACAACATCTGTTCTCCGGTAAGACTTCCGTGGCAGGAAACTCAAGCCGGGTACGGCAAGAAGGATCCAGTGCTCTTGGAGAGGAACCTCTTCTTGACTCGGTCCTCGAGTTGTTTTCCGTGGTGCAGCAAGAAGTATATGAAGCTGGAGATGCTGTACCTTCTTTTTCATGGATGTTTTGGCATTTAGGAGAGGAAAGTGGCGTAGGACCATCATCTATTCCGCTCTTCTCACAGCTCGTTTCTGTCTCTTCGATGTACGGACAGTTCAGATCTTGCAAGAAACAGTAATGACGCTCGGAAACAAGCTCATCAGCCGGGATACTGTTAAGATCAAATAAACCTGACTCCATATTAGTTGCTTTGTTACTATTATTCTCAACGAGAGATTGATCGGCCTTCACTATATCTGAGCTGATCCGATCAGTCAAGAACGACGGCTTTGTTTCACAGTCTCTCACGGTAACATAGCTAACAGAATCTGCTTGCTCTGTTGTGGGAGGTTCTTCAAGATCAATAACTATATTTGGGTTTCTCTTGCCACTCCAATTAGTGGCTGGTGCTTCTTTAGCCTTGTTAGCTTCAAACACTGAATGAAATCCCAAGTCTACGGTATTTCGGGAAGCACCAACTTTGCCAGAACCAAGTGTCTCAGGAAAGTTCTTATAAGCGTAGTAGTGATCTGCAGGAAGCTGAAGATTGATATCTTTCACTAGCAGCTTAGGGGAGTTTATAGTCGTATATCCATCACCGGACTTGGTGCCGCTCTCGCTTTTCACTGGATACACCTGAGATGATAATCTGATGAACAATCTATTCTAACAACAAACATGGGAAAGGAACAAAAGGTTCACAAGTTGGACTAAATTAGAATCTGAATAAGCTTTAATCTTTTACCTGTTTCCCAAACAGAGTGACCATATTGATTGGGTTCTTCTTAAAAGTCTCTTTATATGATACAACATGTTTCTGTGACAACACTTCTTCCTTGGACAAGCCGAAGAAATACATTGCGCCTTTGTCTGCTCTAACTCTTTTTATTCTATGGCCCGTCCCTATCAAATGGGAACAACGCAGATAAAAATGGCAAAATCAGCTGATCAATAACTAAAATCAAACCCGTTAAAAGGATCAACATGAACATTCTAGCACAACGAGAAACCAACAAGAATATTGGCAACTAGAGCTTACCCAGAACATCCATGGAAGCTCATTCTATAACTTAAATGTTTGAATCAAGAACAAGATCAGCGAGCAGAACAACAACAGCAGCAATGTACATAATTGGACAGCTTAATCAAATGAAAGGAATCAATATCAGAATTCTGATTCTGTTCCTATGTAATCCGATTTCCGATAATCTAAAAAACCTCTGCAAAACCCTCATAATATTAGGCCCATTGATGAGAATAAACCTACATATTGATCATCCACACAAAAAAAAACCTTCCATAAACGATTTACAAGAATATAAATTTCAGTATTTACCTAAACATGCAAATAAGTGATGCTATTATGAAAGATTCCATAAACGCTTTACAAGATTTTCCAGAAAAGGAAGGACTATAGCACATATACATATATTCATTACGCACATTTACATAGATATAATACAAAGTAAGTATATAAATTTTCCTAAAATCATCAACTTTCAACAGTTAGAGCAATAAAGGGAAACGGAAAAGCATCAACTTCATGACGAACAAAAACATATCGTACTTCAAGTTTAGATGTAAAGAAAAACCTATAAAAATAAGAATCTAATAATTCAATGAATTGTTTTTTTTTTTTGCTTAAAATAAAGAATTACCCAGAAAAAAAAAAGCTTGAAGCTTTCCAATGGTCAGATTGACGAGCAGATCTGGGAGACGGGAAAAAAAAAAAGAGAAAGGGAGAAGAAAATATCTCAAGAAGAAATGAGATCCATGGTCAGATTCCAATGGTAATTGTCTCCATCAATATAAGATAGATATACGTACAGATATATAACGTGTATCTGTAATTATCACATAAAAATAAATATAAAAAATAGGATCATGAGGAGCGAGAGGGAGAGAGAGAGGAGACTCTCTCAAAATCTCAGAAGGAGAGAGAGAGAGAGATAAAGGGGGTCGTAGTGGTTAGTGTGCAACATCATCTATCGTTTTCTGAATTTATATATTAGTAACTTTTTTTGTTTATTATTATTGACAAAGATTTTAGGAGTGTTTAGGATTCCTCGCTTTTTTCCTTTCTTCCTAATTATGATCGAATGGGGTTGTTTAGTCATTTAGTGACAACTGACGATAATAGTTCTTTCAAAAAGTAGAGAGAGAGCGTTAATATATATTTTTTTAATAAGAAAATTATTGATGAAAAACAAAGATTTTTAAGAAAAAAAATAAAAATAGAGCTTTGGTTGTTGCAGCTGTCGTCGTGTAGTGGAGGTTTTTGGTTGGGTTGAGGAAAAAGGACCAAACATAGTCTGCAGACAGTAGAGGCTTTGTAGCCCAGTTTCCAGCTTTTGCCATCTATAATACTTTATTGCAAATCCCCCCCCACAATTTATTGATATCTTCCTAACTCTTAAGTAAATATGAAATATACGAACGGTTTTTTTTTTTTGAAATTGGTAATGCTTATAATGTTTGAGAGAATTTTGGATGGGGGTCCTTCTCGGTTCTATGAAACATCGTTTCAAGCGTTACGTAAGGGATAGAATGAAGGGGAATTTTTTATTTTCTATAAATGAAACATTACTAGTCTTGGTTTAGGATTTTTTAGGAGTTGTTTTCAACGTATGCAAAAACTGTACCTGTCTTGGTTTCTACATCTTGTTTAATGTTTTTTTTTTTTTACTTTAGTAGTCTGTCTACCTATGTTGAGAAGTCTACACTTATAATCTTTGAGTAAATATCTGTAAATATATCATTTTAAATTAGCAAAGTTATTGCTTTAAATGTTTAGTATAGGAAAAAATGAAGAAATCATTCATTTGTTTCAGTAATATATATTTTTTGCATACCACGTAAAAATTAAAATGATACATACCACGTAAAATTATAATGATACATACCACGTAAAAGTTAAAATGATTAAAGTAAATAAAATCGTTACTTTGGAAAATATGAGAAACCAATTTCGACTGTATATACAATTTAGGTTTACCCTTATAGAAAGTAGTCAAATACTCCAAAACATTAAAACTTTATTTTTTATTTTGTTTGAAGTCACATACCCACAAGCCTTTGAAGTATATATACCCCCAAGTCAGGACTTTTTTTTTTTACAGCAACACAGAGCAGTCCACAAGTTTCTCTAACCAGTTCTTTTTTCGTTTCACATGTAAACATACCGTTTTTAATATTACTACAAGTATTTATACGAATAAAAAGAAAATGTTTTTAAACTTAAAGAATGAAACACAATTCAAAAGTAAAATAAATTAGAAGGATATTATTCTTTAATGGGATTTTCTGGCTGGTATTAGATATTTAGTTGAAAGAGAGAATATATTTGTTCATAATTATTTCAAAGAAACAAATATTCTTAACGTTTGACTAGGAAAAAAAAAAGTTGAGCTAGGATAGAGCCTGACAAGCTGACACGCTTATATTTCTCTTACACGTGTCAGAGACTCAGAGTGAGGTCGCACTATCTCACTTGTAGTACTACATGGTGAAATTTGGAAAGATTCCATAATATATGGTCCAGTTTGAAAACGATATACTGTATGTTTTTGTTTTTATTTGATTTTTTAATGTTTGTATAGTAGATACATCACTACCACACAATCTTCAAGGAAACGAATAGTAATTCTCTGATACTATGTCACCACCACATAACTCACTCAACTCCCGTCACGTGGCCGTTATCGGAGCCGGAGCCGCCGGACTCGTGGCGGCTCGAGAGCTCCGGCGTGAAGGTCACACAGTAACGGCTTTCGAGCGTCAGAAACAAGTAGGAGGACTCTGGGTATACACTCCAAGCGTCGAAAGAGACTTACTTAGCCTCGAACCGGATCGAACCATCGTCCACTCGAGCATCTACGAATCCCTCCGCACCAATCTCCCTCGAGAGTGTATGGGTTACAGGGACTTCCCGTTCGTGACCCGACCCGGAGATGAGTCCAGGGACCCGAGACGGTATCCGAATCACAGCGAAGTTATGATGTACCTGCAAGACTTTGCCAACGAGTTCGAGATTGAGGAGATGATCCTATTCGAGACGGAGGTTTTACGGGTTGAGCCGGCGGCGGTTGACAACCGTAAATGGAGAGTTCAGTTTAGGAACTCAAGAGGTGTCTCCGGCGAAGATATATTCGACGCAGTCGTTGTTTGTAATGGTCACTTCACTGAACCTCGTCTTGCTCATATTCCTGGTAAATATTTTCTGGTTAATTAAGATGTATACTAGTTTGCAATTAAGCTTTACTTGTTTTCTTCATTTGTGCAAGTGTTAAAAGTGATGTTAATTTGTTATTTATCTTGTTCTAGGGATAGATTTATGGCCAGGAAAGCAAATCCATAGCCACAATTATCGTGTTCCAGATCCATTCAAAGATCAGGTATACTTTCAAAATCAAGGAACCCTTTTAACTATTTAGTCCGTTATCCAGTTAAAATTATGAAATTTTTAAAAAAGAAAATGTTGTTTGGGATGTTTGTAGGTGGTGATAGTGATAGGAAATCAATCCAGTGGAAGAGACATTAGCAAGGACATAGCAACGTTAGCAAAAGAAGTCCATATTGCATCTAAATCCGGTGCAAACGGAAAGAAGAGTTCCCGTTATAGCAATCTACATATTCATCCAACGGTAACAAAAGAAGAAGAAAATAAAACCGAGGAAATAACCACAATCCTTATAATACATGATCATTTGATTCATTTTTCTCCACTTGATATATTTTGTAGATAGAACGTGCCAAAGAGGATGGTTCCGTCGTTTTCCAAGATGGGATAGTGGTATACGCCGATGCCATAGTGCATTGCACCGGTTACAAGTATTGCTTCCCGTTTCTTGAAACCAACGGTCACGTAACCGTCCAAGATAACCGTGTTGGACCACTCTACAAGCATGTCTTCCCGCCTGGGCTTGCCCCCGGGCTCTCCTTTATTGGTTTACCTACAATGGTTAGTGTTAAATGTTAGAAGGATATATGTAAGTAAGTTTCAAAAAATGTTAGGAAGCTATGAAATCTCGAATCTGTGGAAATGTAGGATGGAAGGTTTTGTTGTCATGCCAATGCTACACTATACATGAAACCTATAGAGACTGCAAAACTACTAAAACTTAGTAATCTTGGAAGTCTACATGATAGTATTATTTATCTGATTCGAATTGATATGTTAGTAATCTTTGAAATCTCCTAAAACTCAATAGACTTCGATCGAGTTCTTTTAGGGCTAATATATCACTTGGTTTGATATTTGTTCATAATCCAGGCGCTACAATTTATCATGTTTGAAATCCAAAGCAAATGGGTCGCTTCGGTTCTATCAGGTCGAGTTAAGCTTCCTTCAGAGGAAAAAATGATGGAAGATGTTATGGCTTTCTATGAGAAGCTTGAATCTTTGGATATTCCCAAGAGGTTTACGCACTTTCTAACGGATCCTCATTGGACTCCGATGTTTCAAAACCTTAAGCCGCATGAAGCGGTTTTGATCTCACAAAGTGACTACTTCAATTGGGTCGCAGAACAGTGTGGTTGTCCGTCTATTGAACACTGGAGGGAGAAACAATACAATATCGCCATCAAGAAAACTGGTGATACTTACCGTGATGATCAATGGGACGATCAACTTATCGAAGAAGCATACCGGGATTTTGCTAAATTCATCAAACCGACCACTATAGCTTTCTAAGTACAGTAAAACCTCTATAAATTAATACTCGATAAATTAATAATCAATATAAATTAATAAATTTCTTTGGTTTCGAGTTGGGACCAGTATAAAAATCCATCAAATTCGATAAGATAATAAGATAATAATTTTTTTGAAACTCCTATGTAAATATATGGTCCCAACAAACATATAAATTAATAATTATATAAATATATATATATATAATATTTTAAAATATGAATAATGTGTTTACTTTTACTTAAAGTTGAAAGTTTATTGGTGTTCATCTATTTGTTTATTACATCTCTATCTCTTATTGTTTTTTTCGATATTCATTCAAATTTGTGAAGAATTTTTGGTATAATAATTGGTTTTCTTACACGTAAATATCTGTAAATGTATTGTAATATTGTCTTTAATTTCATCTTTTTGATAATAGCCACGGTTTCTTATAAATTTTGAACTTCTAAACATGTATATTTTTAATAGACAAATTAATATTCTATTAAAAACTATTTTGTTATGATAACTATATTTATTAATCATAATTCTTATAAATTAATAATTATTAATTTATAGATAAATTAATATCACGATAAATTAATAAAATTTTATGGTCCCAACATTATTAATTTATAGAGGTTTTACTGTACCTACATTTCCGGCTTAACTGGATTTAACCAATGTCCCAACTTCACATAACACGTTGGTCTTCATTTCATTTTCCCATCCCACACTGTTTTTCCTTTTTTTTCCTAACTATATGAATTGTATTTGTGACAAAAATGCTTTCAAATTGGATGCTTTTTACGATTATAACAGATAATTTCTTCTTTTTTAACGGTACCAAATTTTGGTTCGATTTTAGACCGAATCGGTTTATCGAAATCGACGCTCTTATATAAACCAATGAGCACAGACCTTCACAGTCCCCCAAAACTTCTTCTTTCTTTGACCCAAAAAAGAAAAAAACAACTAAGGAAAATGGCACCAGCACGCAGCCGAATCAACTCACTGCACGTGGCGGTGATCGGAGCAGGAGCCGCCGGACTCGTAGCTGCAAGAGAGCTACGCCGAGAATCTCACTCCGTCGTGGTTTTTGAACGCGACACACAAGTCGGAGGTCTCTGGGTTTACACACCTCAAAGCGAAACCGACGAGCTGAGCCTCGATCCGAATCGGAGCATAGTCCACTCGAGCGTCTACGAATCGCTCCGCACCAACCTCCCACGAGAGTGCATGGGTTACAGAGACTTCCCTTTCGTGCCCCGACCCGAAGATGACGAATCCAGAGACCCGAGAAGGTATCCGAGTCATAAGGAAGTCCTCGCGTATCTTCAGGACTTCGCGAGAGAATTCAAACTCGAGGAGATGGTTCGATTTGAGACTGAAGTGGTTCGTGTTGAACCGGAAGGCCGGAAATGGAGGATCCGGTCTAGAAATTCCGATGGGATCTCCGGCGATGAGATCTTCGATTCCGTCGTCGTTTGCAATGGACACTATACAGAGCCTCGAGTTGCTCATGTTCCTGGTAAATGGATTCAGAATCAAAATTTCTTACCCGATCCAGAGATTTTGGTTTCGATGATTTTGAAGTAATTCATGTTTTGATTGATGAGAAATTGTTTGCATGATTATTTGGGTTGTAGGTATAGAATCATGGCCAGGCAAGCAGGTTCATAGCCACAATTACCGTGTTCCTGACCCATTTAAAGACCAGGTTCTTTCAGAATCTATGAACCTTTTATTGATAGTACTTAAAAAATCGATTTTTTTTTCTTTTTCGAAAACTATCTTTTTTATTATATACGAGGAAATATTTTATTATATTCTCTAGCTCTTATCTTATTTAGTTATTATACACTTATTCCGGTAGACCCAAAAAAAGAACTTTATCTTATCCGACTTTGTATAGTGATTTATATTTTCTTCAAGGGATGGGTGTGATTTAGAAAATGATTCACGTTGGTAACACTGTAAATCTTGCAAACTGAAATCTGTGGAATAGAATGATAGAATCATTAATCTGAAAAACCATGGAATAATGGAATCAGTGAGCTAAGAGAAAGTTGATTTATCAAAGTTATATTGAATAGTTCGGCTATATATAAACAATGTCTAATATCCAGATGATTTCGATGCTTTCGGTATTTACGGTATAATGTTATTTTTGTGTGTTTTGGGGAATAATTTGGGTTGGATAAAGGTCGAAGTTGAGTTTGAAATCTATAATACAATACAGAGATTCATTTATCTCACATTATTGGTTTAGAATACAATGCATAGATTCATCATTCATTTATCTCACTTTGAGTATGCTCTGTTTTTGGTTTTGTTGAAACTCTGTTTTCATTTGATTTTAAATAAAACTCCAGACGTTATTAAAAAAAAAAAATCTTTGCAAGGTGGTGGTAGTGATAGGAAATTTTGCGAGTGGATCCGATATCAGCAGGGACATAACGGGAGTGGCTAAAGAAGTCCATATCGCATCTAGGTCGAACCCATCCGAGACATATGAAAAACTTCCCGGATCCAACAATCTATGGCTTCACTCTATGGTAAAGGATAGATAGATATATCAGAGTGATATTTGATCATTGTAGATGTGTCACTTCTTAAACTTTTGCAGATAGAGAGCGCACAAGAAGATGGGTCGATTGTCTTCCAGAACGGTAAGGTTGTGCAAGCAGATACCATCGTGCATTGCACTGGTTACAAATATCACTTCCCGTTTCTCAACACCAATGGCTATATTACCGTTGAGGATAACTGTGTTGGACCGCTTTACAAACATGTGTTTCCTCCTGCGCATGCTCCCGGGCTTTCCTTCATCGGTTTACCTTGGATGGTTAAGTCTCTCATTCATTCATTCTACTTTCTTGGAGCTTCTTCGCTGGATTTTTCATCGCCTAATCAGATTTTTTTTTTTTTTTTTTTTTTTTTAGACATTGCAATTCTTTATGTTTGAGCTCCAGAGCAAGTGGGTGGCTGCAGTTTTGTCCGGTCGGGTCACGCTCCCATCAGAAGACAAAATGATGGAAGATGTTACAGCTTTCTATGCAAAGCGTGACGCTAATGGGCTTCCCAAGAGATACACGCATCGGCTTGGCGCGTCTCAGATTGAGTATCTCAACTGGATAGCCGAGCAGGTTGGTGCACCGCCTGTTGAACAATGGAGAGGTCAGGAAGTAGAAGGTGGCTATTTTAGACTTGCCACACAATCAGACACTTTTCGTGATAAGTGGGACGATGATCACCTCATCGTTGAGGCTTATGAGGATTTCGTGAGACAGAAGCTGATTAGTGTTCTCCCTTCTCAGTTATTGGAATCCGGAAGATGATGAATGACCTGTCTGTGTTGTTGTTCTGTGATGTGAACTCTTAATCATTTTAAATGTCATTTATATTGTAATGTTGGAACAAAACAATGTTTTTATACACAGATTGAATCAAGCCCTCTAAGCATGTTGTACATTTTCTTGTTGACGCCATCTCCTCAGCTCACTTTCCACAACGCTCTTTGCTGCCTCTGCAGATTCTGCTGACTTCTGAGCCAATTCCGTTGCGTGTTTCATCTCCTCTATCGCTTTCAAGGTAGCTCCTAATTTCTTATCAGCTTCGGTTTTTCTTGCGTTGATCTCTTCTAGCTCAGCTGCTATAGCTGCCAACTTGTTTTCGATTGCAGCCTCTGTTTCCCCTGCTCCTCGTTTCAAAGATTCAAACTCTTGTACTGTGATTTTAATCTTGGAACCAGACGACTCGTCATGTTTCTTGCTCTCTTGCTTCTGAGAGATCATCTTCATCTCCTCGCGGACTTTCTCCTCAGCAGATTTCGCCTCTTCGACTTCTCTTATAACAAGCTCTAGTCTCTTTTCAGCTTCCTCTGCAGCTATCATTGCAGCCTCGGTTTCTTTCTTCAAGCTCTCTATCTTTTTATTCATCTTCTCAGCTTCGTTTCTTGCTCCCACAGCTTCTGATTTCATTTGCTCGAGTTTCAAGCTCTCTTCCTTGAGAGCTTCCATCTTTTTCGTTTCCTCGATCTCTAATCTCTCTGCTTCTTTCTGCTCCAACTCTTCCCGTTCTCTCCTCATGTCTTCTAATTCCATCCTGAGAGAATTCACCAAGCTCCGGAGAGAGCATTCCTCATCAGCAGCCTCTTGTAGCCTCATCGTAGCGTCGTTAAGTTCGTTTGTAATAATTTTAACCGTGATCATTTCAGATTCATGAGCTTTCTTCATCTCTTCCCGTAAAACCTCAATCTCTGAAGTCGTCTCTACCAGTTTTGCCTCAAGGTCCCTTGAGAGCTCAGGCTCATATTCTTGCCTCAAAACAAGCAGTTTCTTCTCTGCTTCCTCAACGGCTGTCTTGTAACATTCTCGTAAATCGTCCTTTTCCTTCACAATATTTGCGTACTCCTGAAGATTCTGAGTGGCCGCTAGCTTGAGCTGATGAATCGCATCTTTCATATCCGAAATCTCCTTGGAAAGCTCGTTGACCTTAGCAGAGTTTACTTGGAGTGCACGCTTGGCTTCTGCAGCCTGGTTTAAGGCCGTGGCTTTGAAGTCCATAGCGGAATCAAAGCTCTGTCTGATTTTGTTGAGCTGCTGTTTTGCAGCGTCGAGTTCAATGGTCGTTGAGAGATATTGCTCTCTGGCAACGTCAAGCTCGTGGTGGTGAGGAGGAGAGCCATGAGACTTATCATGCTCAAGCTGTTCTTCGCGTTGTTGGACGGTTTCTTTGGTGTCAATAGCGGATTGCTTAGACTTGTTGACAGCTTCAAGCTTGTTGCTAAGATCCTCCATTGTCTTCTTTGCCTTTGAGAGATCGGAAAGAGCACGAGATCTCGTGCTCTCAGCGTTGTCCAGCTTTTGCTTGATCTTGTTGAATTCTTTGTTGGCTAGCATCAGCTGTGTTTCTTTGTCGCAAACGCTCTTGAAACATATAAAAAAAAAACGAAGAAAGGTATTAAGCTTTGTTTTTATCTAGCGTGCATGATGTATTTGTTGATTTCTTGGATTAATTTACCTCAGAGGAAAGTCGAGACCGCCTAGGAGTACTTCTTTGCCTTGAGACGGCAACTTCACCGAACAAACTCACCGCAGCTTTCACCGACTGGAACGGTGCTCTCGTGTCTATCTCTCCCACCTCCGTCGTCCTCGGAGATTCCGGACCTTTTTGTACTCTAATGTTCACCATTCTCTACTATATATCTGCACAACATTCTCGAATCTTAATCGAACAAAACCCTAAACAAAGGCCATAATGCCCACATGATCGTTCATATTCTACTAAGTCTCTTTTTTATGTTGTATCTAATCCAATACAGAAGCAGCATTATCACATAGACGGTGTGGAACTTTGCAGATTCAATGGAGGAGAAGCAAATAGCAATTCGAAGAAATTAGATGAATGGAAAGGAGAGATGATTTACCTTTAATTTCTCTTTCTTCGTGTTCCTTTGTTGTTGTTTTTTCTATCGTCTTCTTCTTATATATAATCTTTTTCTTCTCTCTACAATTACGGGACTTTTGATTGGTTATTATCCTTTTTTGTCTCTTGGATCTATATTTAGAAGCTTAGTTACTGGCACGACACCTTTCCTTCTTCTGTCTGCACCCACGTCTCTGCCTGTCTCAATGTCCTTTCCTTTTTTATTTGCTTCTGACTTTTATGAGCCTAAGGTTGATTTTTAATATAAAAACCAACTGCCTTCTCCTCATGGTAACAATAATAGATATTACTCCATGCAGAGTAGTAAAATTATCATTAACGATATTATGAAATCTATGCAATGTGTCATGTATGTCTCTATAAATCTAAAAATAAAGAGGAGATCAATATTATTATTGCCAACATTCTATTTAATTTCACATAGTTTATATCATGAATATCTTTCAAAATTGTTTTAATAGAAATTATAGAATGATATTGTAATGGTATAAAATCATCTGTATTTTCTTGACCAAAAAAAATAATCTGAAAACATCTTGTCTCTGATCAGTGGCTTTGGTAAATCTCCATGTTTCCCGCTCTTCCTTTCCATTTGTCTGAGCCTTAAGGAGATTTGTGGGTTCATAAATTTGTAAAACATTATTAGAGGGTAAAATTTGGAAAGATTTCATAAATATAGGGTCCATTTTAATTAAATGCACACACTTTTTAACGAAACGGATAGTGACACTGACTTTTCAAATTTGTTTGATAACTGACACTATGACCCAACCATGGCCCAGCCTAATCACCTCACGTGCTCGTCACGTGGCCGTGATCGGACTCGGAGCCGCCGGGCTCGTGGCGGCTCGAGAGCTTCGTCGTGAAGGTCACACCGTCATCGCTTTCGAGCGTGAGAAACAAGTGGGAGGACTCTGGGTGTACACCGATCGAGTCGAACACGACTCACTGAGTCTCATCCCGGGTCGAACCATATCCCACTCGAGCGTCTATCAATCCCTGCGCACCAATCTCCCACGAGAATGTATGGGTTACAGTGACTTCCCGTTCGTGATCCGACCCGGAGACGGCGAATCCAGGGACCCGAGACGGTACCCGGATCACAGGGAAGTCATGATGTACCTGCAAGATTTCGCCAGAGAGTTCGAGATCGAGGAGATGATCCGATTCGAGACGGAGGTTTTCCGGGTGGAGCCTGCGACGGAGAGCGATCGAAAATGGAGAATCGAATCTAGGAACTCAAGAGGTGTTTCCGGCGAAGAAATCTTCGACGCAGTCGTCGTTTGCAATGGGCACTTCACTGAGCCTCGTATAGCTGATATTCCTGGTAAGTAATTAATTAAGGTGTGATTAAGTTTTTCATTTACGGATGCGATTAGTTTCCTAATCATCTCGTTTTAGTCTTAAAGGGATAGATTCATGGCCAGGAAAGCAAATCCATAGCCATAATTATCGGATTCCAGATCCATTCAAAGATCAGGTAATTGTAAAGTCTACTACTTTCCTCAGTTTCTCAAAGTTTGATACTTTTTTTTATGGTGTGTTATACATTCGCTTAAGATCTCTGCTTTGATTGAGGTGTTTGTAGGTGGTGATAGTGATAGGAACTCAATCCAGTGGAAATGACATTAGCAAGGACATAGCAACCTTGGCAAAACAAGTCCATATCTCGTCTAAAGCGGTTGCATCCGATTCATACGTGGAGCGTAACAATCTTCGGATTCATCCGACGGTAAAACAAAAAAAAAAGAAAAAAAAAATTTGAGCAAATTAATCCCGTTGATATATATATCCTTAAGGTTGATCTTGATATATATATGTTGTAGATATACCGCGCTTGCGAGGATGGTTCGGTGGTGTTTTGAAACGGGAGAGTGGTTTATGCCGATGTTATAGTTCATTGCACCGGTTATAAGTACCACTTCCCGTTTCTTGAAACCGGCGGTTATGTGACGGTCGAGGATAACCGTGTTGGGCCACTCTACAAGCATGTCTTCCCACCCGGTCTTGCCCCAGGGCTCTCCTTTATCGGTTTACCCTTCAAGGTTAGTATATGTGAGACTACAAAAAAAATGGGAGTTAGGTTTAGAATATGATAATGATAAATCTGGAAACACCTTAAGTATTCTTTGTTGTTATAATCCAAGGGGATTCAGGGCTTTTTGTTTGAAATCCAAAGCAAGTGGGTAGCTTCGGTTCTGTCTGGCCGGGTTAAGCTTCCCTCGGAGGATAAGATGATGGAAGACGTAATGGCTTTCTATGCGAAGCTTGAAGCCATGGGGATTCCCAAGAGATACACACATTTTCTAAGCGATCCTCGAGGGAATCCAATGCTCTGGAAGTTTGAGCCGCAAGATGAGGTTGTGGTCTCTCAAAGCGACTACTTCAATTGGATTGCGGAACAATGTGGTTGCCCGTCCATTGAACGTTGGAGAGAGCGACAATATAGTGTCGCCGTAAAGAATCTTATCTTTGGTGGCGACGGTTATCGCGATCGATGGGACGATGATCAACTTATCGAAGAAGTGTACCGAGAATTCGCCAAATTGACAGTTAAATCAAGATCTTCTTGTTAATTGATCAATTCAAGAAGATGATTGAAATGTGACAAAGGGGAACACTTGCCATCCAAAAAATTGTGAAGTTGATTGTTATGTTGTTAATTTGAGTGCTGATGGCCACTTTTAAAATGTAAGATTTGTAACACTGTTTGTTTAAATGAAACATCCTTTTGGCCTCTCTGTTTGTTTAAATGTAACACTTTTTGTTACAGAAGCGCAAACTGAAACAGAAGGGCGTTAGTAATTGTTATTGTCTGATAAAAGTCAACGAACATGTGATTAAAGCCCTTAGAAATAGGTGTTCAAACTGTCATGAACTTCATCCACACCAAAGTCATATTGCTTATGAAATAACAAATTACTAATACATATAGCAAAGAAAATTTAAAGTATGTAAATGAACTGGAATCAATCTAGGAACATAGAAACATTGGCAAAACTTATTAACATAAAAACCTTTTGGAATCTTTGTGGACTCATTGCCCCTCACAATATATATGCAAGCCTTTTGATCTTCATCCATACAACACATGACGAGGCTCTTCCGTAGGTGATATCGATGAAGTAACTTGGACAATGGCACTCATGAAAAGGTATCAAAACATGAATAACATCAAAAAAAAACCTTATACAGAAAAATAGTCTAGATGAGATTTTTAATGTTTTTGGATTGATTTCTTGCAAATGGTCAAGAATCTTCTATATATACATAAAACTCTACACACATAAACCACAAAATGTGCATTATCAATAAATAACTGGAACATTTTTATCTTCTCTTTGAACTTTTTATTGTTTGTTTGAAATGACCCCTCTTTTAACTTTTTTCAAAACTCTGTTAAGTGGCTTCAATAGTTCTTCTATCGATTTACAATCGATCATGATGTCTCACCAAAGAGCTTCTTTTCAATATTTTCCAATCAATAAGGGCACTAATGATCACTTCTTTGCAGGAGTGTACGATCGAGGGAAGCATATTGGGCCGCGTATATATGTACGATGTTATAGTAGATTTAAGAGTTGTATCATTCTCTATTTGTATATAAGGCAGTGTCTTTGTATTTAATCAAATTAACTTTTGCTACTTAAATTTTTCTTCACATAATATCATTTAAAAAAAAGCTTTGCAACTTAAAATTTATCTTCACATGATATCATAGTAAAGTTTTACTAAATACAAATACAGCTCCCTAACCTAAACATAATTGCTAACATCAACGTTGTCCAATAAACCTAATTAGGAAACTAATTAGAAAAAGAAATTGTACTGTAGATATACTTAGGGGGGTATAATTTAGAAAACATAATAGTGCGAGGACGTCTAACAAAAGACTGCGCCTCCGGTCTCTTGCTTTGGAATTTGGACTCATCCAAACTTCAGTACGTGAGATCATGCGGATTCAATAGATTCGACTTTCAAGGAACATCGATCTGTGGACAATTATTATTTATTTTATATCTAACAGTGGTGACTGTGATTGACCGTACTTATTACAAATAAATGCTAGTTGTTGATGTTCCTTTTGATAACCATTGGGCTGTTGAATGAAAACTGATAACCTAATGAAATTAAAAATTTCATAACATACTTGTATGGAAATGTTTAGCAGATTGTGATATGTTTAATAATATGAGATGTTTTAGCTAAAAACACACAAATTTGAAACTATTCTTAAGTTAAAATAATCCAACTTGTTATGAAAAAGACTGTATGTTATAATTGGTTACATATTATTCAATAAATAATATTTTAAACATCGTATATTTAGAACAAAGAGAGTACATACGACCATTTTTGTTGTTGTTTTTAAATCTGCTGTTTTTAGAAATGGTTTGATGAGTCCAACATGTCACAATAATATTTTGGTTTAGGGATTGGTTTATTTTAGTTTCAGACTCAAAATTAAAAACAACTAGAAAAATTGCAGTTGTATAAAAAAAATCAGGACCGCTGAATTATATAAAAAATATTGTGTGCAATAATTCAATTATCTATTGCAATCTAAAACCTAATTGGTAAATTTCAAGAAAGTTTGACGTGGTCAGTGGTGGGTGCATGTTACTTTTTTTCTTTTTCTTGTTAATATAAGTGGGTGCTAGAGTTTTATCCAAAAAGATGAAAGTGTCAATAAAGGAAGATAAAGAGAGCTAGACGTCGTTTCCATTTTTTAAACTACTTCGGTAATGGATTTGTTTGCAACTTGATGGATATTTTTCATATTTGGCGTCTATCATTTTCAAAGAACAATGACGTAGATGATTCAAATTTGCCGTCTTCTTATAGCTTTTTACTAATTTTGTAATATATTTAGCCCATGCCGTACGTAAAACTGCAAAAGTAAGTTCTGTAAATTTGCTTCTGTATATATTTTAATTATAAAAAAAACTTCAAAATCGATCTTACTTTTTATACAATCGGACTTTTAAACTCAGAAAATTAAAAATCTTCAAACTTCTGACTAACAAATTAGAAGATTTGTTTGTTTGTTTGTGTGTGTGTAATCGTACATTTTTTAAAATTAGGAAAGATGTTATGTGACAACGGAAAGATAAAACCTGATTATCAGTTTATGAATGGAAAAACTTCCTTCTGCATGCAATGATAATTGTCAACAGGATGTCCATAGTAGCATGAATATTTCATTATGAATATCCACACATCTGATTCCATGTATTTGTTGATTCTACAGAGATTTTATAATAGAAAAAGTTTCTTTTTGGGTAGGTGCTATGTTGAATAGTACAAATGATCCTGGACACTGATAGGCCGTAGATAACATTGGGCTGCAGCATGCCGTCAAAAGAAGTAACCAGAAAAGCTTATTACTACTTTTCTTTATTAATAAAAAACAAGTACTGTGGAAGAACACTTACTTGATCAAATGATTTAGAGCTTTCTATATATACTCTGTCTCTTGTTAATTGCAACTTTTATATTTTCTTAAGGTATTAATTATGAGTTGATGCATGGTGGATCGCCTATTGTGTGCTATTCATGAGATCATTCATTTGTAGATTAATAGAACTGTTTCACATCAAATAATAGTCTGTCTATAAAAAGAAAGTAAATTCATCTAGTGTACATCCAATTCTATCTGAAATACGATTATATTTTATAACTAAATAAATTATGATAGCATTAATGATAACTAATGAAAGTTCAAATCTTATTATATGCTATAATTTGTGACCCAATATGCAGGTTTAGTGATACAAAATATCGTCACACAAGTCTATATTCTCTTGTGGACATGCATATATGGTTGATCGATGTAACGCTACCTACTTAATTGAATTTAATATCCCTACGAGATTATGTAAGAATTGTCTACACTAAACTGACACGTCATCGTTAGAGGTACCTTGTTCCTCGTATATATAAAGCACATCGTTATAATCGAAACACAACACACCATCACCTTCTCTTCTTCATCATTATTATTACAATCTCTTCATTCATATATCCTTATTAATTAGATCACAATATATACTTCACCTGCAGCTAGCCTGAAAATGGCACCGAGTAAGCCTGATGCAACCACCTCTCTCCACGTGGCGGTAATCGGAGCCGGAGCCGCCGGACTCGTGGCTGCGCGTGAGCTGCGTCGTGAAGGCCACTCAGTGGTCGTATTAGAGCGCGGGAGCCAGATAGGTGGCGTGTGGGCTTACACCTCTCAAGTAGAACCTGACCCGCTAAGCGTCGACCCGACCCGACCCGTTGTCCACTCGAGCCTCTACAGATCCCTACGCACCAACATCCCCCGAGAGTGCATGGGTTTCACCGACTTCCCTTTTGCGACCCGACCACACGACGGGTCGAGGGATCCGAGAAGACATCCGGGTCATAGTGAGGTTCTTGCTTACCTGCAAGACTTTGCCAAGGAATTCGATATCGAGGAGATGATCAGGTTCGACACGGAGGTTGTTAAGGCGGAACCGGCGGCGGCGGCGGAGGAGAATAGTCGGAAGTGGAGGGTTGAGTCGAGAAGCTCCGATGGTGTTGCTGCTGACGAGATGTATGACGCCGTCGTGGTTTGTAACGGACACTATACAGAGCCACGCCATGCTCTTATCGCAGGTAATTAACCAAACCTTGATCACTCGTGTCCAGAGTTGTGTGTTTATTTATTTATTTTTGTTTTGCTTAATTTTTGTATACGACAAAAAAATTCTGTTTACGTTACATAATTTCTTTTGTAAAACAAAAGGGATTTTCAAACCTTTACTAAAAACAGAAGAAGAGATTTTCGCATTTTACAGAAAAGTCCATCTTTTTGTTAGAAAAACTAGACTTGGACATTTAATGAATTTCGGATTGTTATGTTTTTGAAGTATTCGGTTTTAAAATAATTTGTGTGTGTTACGAATTGGTTACGGTTACGAAAAGCACAGTAAGAAAATATATTTAACCTAATGAAAATAAAAATTTAGTTCAATAATTTTGTTTACTTTAGGTCATTATTGCTGATCATATAAAATTTTGATTTTGGTCCTAGTCTGATTTTGATTCGACTCGGTTTGGTCCAAATGATGCTTTCAGTTGTGATGAGAGGTTTTTGTTGTCGGTAACCAAAAAGCATAGTTTTCTTGAGGGGTGAATTAATAATTCAAATAATCAATAATTAGGCTTTTCCTTAAGATTTTTGTTTGGGTTTTTCCAGGCATAGATTCATGGCCAGGCAAGCAAATTCACAGCCACAATTACCGTGTTCCTGATCCATTCAAAGATCAGGTACTTCACAAGAATCTATAATTTAGTGATCTCAAATGATTAACGTTTCTCTTAATTCACCTAACTCTTTGATCGTTTCCGTTATGTTGCTCGTTTCGCAGGTAGTTATTGTGATCGGAAGCTCAGCGAGTGGAGTTGACATAAGCAGAGATATAGCGAAGGTTGCTAAAGAAGTCCACGTCTCGTCTAGATCGACTTCACCGGAGACCTACGAGAAGCTTCCCGGTTACGATAATCTATGGCTTCACCCAACGGTACTAACTAACCCGGCCAATGAATGATAGTGATTGTTTTCATGGTTTAACTAGTC